TAGGAGGTTGTACTGTTAATCCAAACGTGGAGCCTCTGGCAATTTGAATCCACCAGAGGGAGAAAAAGAAGCAATCTTGTCCAGTGCGATTTATAGTCTCAGAAATGAGTCATTTCTGACTCAATGGCACTGAGTTTTTTTCTTCTTCAGTAATGTGTTCAAAGGAACCGAGTTAGTCTTGGCCATTCTTATTTCCAAGGTCCATTCTGGTTGTACTTCCTTACAAGATCACTGTTTTTCTCTGGTTGTTAGGTGCCATTCGACCCATAACAACCCTATCAACAGATATAAACCCTGCCCTATCTTGTTCCACCCCTCACATTTCATAACACACTAGATAGAACCCATTATAGCAGTCACTGGGTCAATCCACCTGGTTGAGGGTCTTCTCTTTCAGCTGACCCTGCACTTTTCTGGTAGTCTACAATATATTCCACATTCTTTACTACTATCACAGTTCCAAAGCACCTATTTGGTCTTTTTTCATTATCTAGTACCATATGCACAAAGGTTGGTAATATGTTATTGCTAGGACAAACGTGGTTAGTAGAGTATGACTCACAGTGACTCTGAACAAAAGGTATGAAATTAATTCTGTCCTATGCTAGTCTCATCATTTCTGAAATACTCAAGCCCACTGCAGCAGTTACCGTGTTGAGGATCTTTCTCTTCCACCAACCATCCACCTTTCCAAGCATGTTGTCCCTTTCCATGCATGGAAAATATTCAGAACATGCTCAAAGTATGGGAGATGCCATTTTTGCCCCCAAGAAGACTGGCTGTACTTTAGAGGGGAGTGGTCATTATGTAATTTTTAATTTATTCATTTAACTATTGGGTTCAAATAATCATCTTCTATAGCAAGTTATTAAAAGGTTTTTTTTAAGATCCTTTTGTTTAGACTACTCTAGCCTAACAATTTTGTCACAATGGCCAGAAGTGCACTGCTTCTGAAGTGGTTATTTTAGTAATTCTGAAGCCTGGAACCAAAATCCTGTAAATACATTTTCAAGTAAATACAGGAGAGCTTAATTTTAAGAAATATGTTTAAATATTGTTTTGAAAGTAACTAAATAGAATATATAGTTCAACACAGAGCTTTGAACTGATTCAATCCCCTATCCCCTGCCAAGACTGCTTGTTTCTATCCTAAATAAAGGTGCTCTGATATCCTACTGGTAAGGAACTGCTGCCAATCCCTAAGTACATGGTTCAAATTCATTAGCTACCCCAAGGAATAAAGATGGGCAATCTCTCCCATGTGATTTACTGTCTCTGAAAGCCTCCTATATGTTTAGCCATGAGCTGGCACATAACAACTGCCAATACAAACATCAGTTTCAAGACTAAGGTGTGTCTTATCTGCTAGGTATTTTTAATTGCTTCCTGCTTAAGGTTATTCAGAAATGACTGGAACAGTACACTTACAGATAACTACCAGAAATATAAGCTGGGTTTAGAAGAGACTGTGGCAGTAGAGACATTATAGCCAATGTCAGATGAATCTTGGCAAAAAGCAGAGTACCAGAGGGATATCTGTGATTCACTGAAAAGGCATTTGACTGTGTGGATCACAACAAATTGTGGCTAACCTTGAGGAAAATGGGAATCCCAGAACACTCAGTTATGCTTATGCAAAATCTATACTTGGCCCACAATCAATCCTCAGAATAGCTCAGGGATACACTGCATGGTTCAAAATCAGGAAGGGATGTGTCCTGTCTCCATACTTTTCAATATATATGCAGAACAGATCATGTGAGAAGCTAGACTTTATGAGGAAGAATGTAGTATCAGGATTGGAGAAAGGCTCATCAACAACCTACATTATGCAGGTAACACAACCTGCTTGCTGAAACTGAGGAGGACCTGAACTGCTTGCTGAAGGGCAAGGTCTGTAGTCCAACAGGAATTGAAGCTCAACATCAAGACAAATATTCTTATCACTGGGCCAACTGGCAGCACCCTGATGGATAGAGGAGAGACTGTGGTTGTTAACAGCTTGACTCTATAATCAACACTCTGCACCAGCAGTCAGGAAATCAAAAGACAAATTGCATTAAGTAAATCTGTCAGGGACCTCTCCAGAGTACTCGGAAGCAATGATGTCAGACTACTGACTAAGGTGCGCCTGATCCACTCCAGGGTCTTCTCAATTACTTGCTATGCATCAAAGAGCTGGATAATGACAAAGAATGATAGAAGAATTGATGTCTTTAAGTTGTGGTAATGCAGAAGTCTTGAACATACCATGGACTGTCAAGTAAACAAAGAGTGAAACCAAGTTTCTCCTTGAAGGCTACGATTTTGAAGGTCCTTATACACTTTGGGCATGTGGCCAGGAGGGACTGGTCCTTGGAGAAGGACATCATGCTCACAAGGGTGGAGGAACAGAGCAGGAGACCAAGGCCCTGGATGAGATGGAATGATATAATAACTAAGGTAATAGGGGTAGGTGTGTGGGAGTGAGACTGGCTCCAGAAAGATCAGAGTTCAGAGCTGTTATACACAGAGTTGCTATGAGTTGCAGAGGACTCGACAGCACATACCACCACCACCAAAGAATCAGACGACAAAAAAACCCTAACATCTTTAATTGTGGTGTTAACAGAAGATATCAAATATTCCGTCAAACATTAAAAATGTCTTGGAAGACATATAGTGAGGGCTCCTCAGAGGCAGACAATTTCTCACATACTCAAGGCTATGCTGTCAGGAGAGGTCAGTTTATAAATACTTAAGGATAACATACTTGGAAAGGTAGAGAGGAAAATTACCCTCCCCTCAGCAGGAGAGAGACAGACACAGTGACTGCAACAATGAGCTTGAGCACAACTGAGGTTGTATGACAGGATCAGGCAAAAGTCACTAAGTACCTAAAACAAATGATCCCTAAATACACACTATAAAACCCTCTAATTCAGAAAGATAGAATCCTGTGACTCTTCATATTTTCCTGATATGTAAGCGAAACCATTATGTATGTACTGTAATGTGAGAGATGATTGCTTTGACTCTAGTTTCAACCTGACTATGCTATTATTTATGATATTCCAGGGATATAGCAGGTTCTGTTCCAGACCACAGCAGTAAATCAGACATGGAGATTAAGTCACACTGGTTTCCTAATACATATAAAAATTCCACCAACAAGTACAATGTATTCTAGTAAATGATCAACAGTATTTTTAGAAAGCTGAGTCCCAAAATGTGATATGCAGTAAGCATGTGCTGTTGGAAAAAAGGTGCCAACAGATATGTTTAACATGGGTTTTTCTAACCCTTCAACTAATAGTGTTAAATAAAACCCCAACTATGTTCTAAGTACAATAAAACAAAATATTCATTATTTAAGGTTAATAAGATGCTCCACCTAAGTGAACATCAAAAGCCATACACTGATTTAAATGGAGGATGACAAATTGAGTTATTTGCCCAACAGAGATACTTAAGAATGGTACCTTGAGAAATAAACAGAACAAATAATTATTTTTACTTGGCTATAAACTAGTTAAACTGCTGTAATACACTTCCATTTAACAAACTAGTAAAACAGAAAGCTCATGCTACCAGCAAAAAACCCTGTATTAAACTGTGTCAAGGGTTGAATCTCGAACAAAAAATTTGCATTTTTAATACTTTCAAAGTAAGTGCACTTGGCTTTGAAAGTTACTGGTTAAGGTCAGGAAAAGAACCAAGAGCTTAAGGGAAATACTAAAACACTGATTCACAGAAAAAGCTAAAATCTCGTCAGTAAACCAACCATATACAAGCATCAGAGAATCCCCTTTCTTCTGAACTATTAGCTCAAATTTTAAAAAGCAACAAGAAAAGGCAGCTTTTGGCCTGTCAAGAAGACAAAATTTAAGTACAAATGGAAACTTTCTAAGTATTATGATTGAATCTAAATTCTCCTCCAAGAATGCAAATGTGGAAAACAAATCACCAAATGCTTCTCTCTCACTCTGAGTACTTTAATACTTTATGGTTGATTACACCAACAGTTCATCAGCCAACATGTCCTTCTGTCTTATTTTCCGGTACTGGTTTTCTGTAGTATATCCATTGTCCATTTGACATTCTTCATTAGTTTTTATGCTTGGGTTGCCTTTTAAACAACCAGCTGGTTAATGCTTTTTAAAATAAAACTGTTAAGAAACTGCTGAGCTGGCATGAAGCATCATACCTGTAAAGCCACGACTGCTATCAGCACACACTATGTGCAGTACACTCCACTATACTTGGCAGCCATCTTGGAAATGATGCATGCCTCACAAGGGAGCTCCAGGGAGAGCTCATCAACTGCACATTCCCCTCACGACTGTCACCAACAATCTCGGGAGAAGTCCAACAAAAGTCAGTCTTATAGGGCCTTAAACGCAATCATGCAAACCAGATTGTCATTTATCACAGACTAAGGTCATTCTTGTAAACTACAAACCAGGCTTCTAGGAAAACTGGTTTAACTAGGAAGAAGAGGTGGAAAATGAGGCAGAAAACAGACTATTTTCTTCCAAATAACTCCCTTATGGAGAATAAAGCAACCTTTTTCCTTGTCAAAGCATCCCAATAGAAAATTTACCCAAAATCTTTGAAAGACAACCTATAGTGAAACATCAAACAAAAAACAATATAATGAAAATGACAAAAAAAGCATCTCTGACTCCACGCATTACTCCACTTTGTCCTGTCAAGGTATAGCTCATTCATTCAACTTTCATTTTAAACAGCTTTGTGCCATAAAGCAGCTTTTGCAGCTAGCTTTTAGATTTAGCATTTAGCTGCAAAACAAAAAGGGGGGTTAAAAAAAAAATCTCGGTCCACTAATCCCTCAGCCATCCAGGAAAACACAAACCACACTAGCTGGACACCAGTGGAATCTCAGGTGTCCTGCAGGACATGCGGGACAGGCAGACACCATCCTCGGCCCCGCCAAGTCCACAGGTGGAGAAGGAAACATGCGAGAAGTAGGATGGAGGCTTCGACGAGGGTCATCTCACCTGTTGATGAAACCATATCCGTTCCTTACATTGAACCATTTTACTGTTCCCAAAACCTTCGTTGCTGGGGAGGAGGAAAAAAAGGAAAAAAAACACAGAAAAGAACTCAGGATTACCGTAAAAGCCCTTTTTAGAAGCAGCCACGCTTTCGCATCCAGTCCTTCACACGTCTCCCCGCCCCCCGGGGGAGGCCACCTGACAGCCTTTTCTCGCTCAAGTCCGTCTCCTAGGCCGTGCTTTCAGCCCGCCGCCGCCGCCGCCGTAACGGTCCACGTGGGTGACTCGAAGCCCCGAGACGCCGCGGGCTCAAAATGGGTGTGCGCGAAGACAGCGCGAGCGGGCGGGCGCGGCCGCGGGCGGAGAGCACGTGAGGGAAGGGGAAGCCGCCCGGGCCCACTCCGGCCTGCGTAGGCGGCCGTGCGCGGCGCGCCCGCGGGGCACACACGGAAAGCAGCAGGGTGGGGGAGACGTGCGCGCCGCCCGGGATGGGGACCCTGCCACACATGCGGTCGTCGGAGCGCGGTCAGCACCGGGAGGGCGGG